GCTGAGCATAGCCAGGCCCCACTGCCACCCCTGGCACTGTCCAAGAACAGCTGTCCTGCTGTCACCTGCTCTGAGCAACAGCCTCTGTACAGCCTGGACATGATCAACATGGCAGTTTCTGGGGAAGGGTATGAGCAGCCCCTGGCACATCTCATGTTGTTACTGGACAGCAGGTAGACCCCAGACTCACCGGCCCCCCACCCCGCCTCCTTACCAGGGGTCTGGAGAGAACAAAGAGCTCCCGTGCCTCAGCCCTGAAGCCAACAGGGACCAGCCTGAGGAGGGCAGGGCAGCAGCCCCCTTTGTCCAGGGGAACTGTGTCCTGGAGGTTGTCCATTGCAAGCCCAGGGCACTCGCTGGCCACCCTGCACTCCTGAGTACTCCCTCAGGCAGCCTGAATGAGGGCAGAGCAGATAAAGACTTCTGCCCTCGTGGTGAGGGGGCTCGGGCCTGCCCAGAACCCCTACAGGGAAGAAGGACCCAAAGCTACAAAGTCCTGGGAAGGGTAGGAGGTGGGATGAGGGGGGTGGGGAGCAGAGAGTCATTGTAAGCCCCCCAACATACCCTAGGGTTAAGGCAGTTTCCAACCAAAAAGGGGAGCCTCCCTGGGTATCTAGTTCCCCACTCCTGGCAGTCTCATGGTGCCATGAGGCATTTGGAGCATGCCGGGCAAGGCCCAGCAACTGTGCGGCAAGGAAGCAGGGAACTGACCTAGGCAAACTCAGTGGCCCAAGAACCTTGAGGGCATCTCAGGCTCCCCACTTACCACAGACCGGCTGCTGCGAATGTCAGCACAGAGCTAGCCCAAGATGTCCTCTCCAGCTGCAAGTCCTGGAGCACCAGGAGAGCCCCCTGTGGGGTTGGCCTGGTCCTCCGGCCCTGCCCTCAGGTGACTGCCTGGGGTCCTGCCAGGTACTGTTGGTGCTGGGGCCTCTGTTAACTTGGTTACTTGTTAATTCTGTTAACTCTATACTTGGTTACACTTCACCAGCCTTTTCCTTTTGGCCTTCCTGATGTCCTTCCTGAGACATGCACCCTGCCAGGCCAGGGAGCCAACGTCCCTATCTCTGACCCTTCCTCACTGTCCCATGACTGCAAAACACCCAGTTCTCCACTGAGGAAGGTGGAGACTCTGGCCTTCTGGTCCCTCAGCTCCACATATATCTTCAGGTGAAAGAACAGCTGGGCAGGACCAAACTGTTTGTCTCCTGACTGTCCCCAGGCCTTCTGCTGAGCAATGACCAACATCTGCAAAATGCCCGAGGTCTGCAAAAACCCTTCCAACTACTGCCTCTTAGATTTGGCACCTCCTTCTCTCTGCCTCCACCCCAATACCTCTTCCCTCCATCCTTCACCCTTTCCTGCTTTCCTCTCCCCCTTGTCCCAAAAGGCTTCACTGGGCACCTTCCCCCATAGAAATACCTAGGGCTCAGTCCTGACAGGATGTCAAGTCACTCCCAGCTCTGTTGTAAGGGGAGAGACAGAACCAGTTTGCAAAGCCTCAGCAGTGATACCTGAAGAGTGCAAGACTCCTGAAGAGCAGAAGTTGGTGGGGGCACTTCTGGCTGGGGAAAAGTTCGAAAGAATTAAAAAGGAATATTATTTAGCACTAGAAAGAAATGAACTATCAAGCCATGAAAAGACATAGAGGAGCCTTAAATGTAGTTTGCAAAATGAAAGAGCACAATCTGAAAAAGCTAATACTGTATGATTCCAACTATATGACATTATGGAAAAGGAAAAACTATGGAGACAGAAAAAAGATTAGTAATTGCCAGAGGTTTAGGGGGGTGAAGGGGTGAGTTGGTGGAGCACAGAGGATTTTTAGGGCAGTTAAATTATTTCTGTGATATTATAATGGTTGATACATGTCATTATACATTTGTCAAAACCTATAGAATATACAACACTGAGAGTGAACCCTAATATAAACTATGGAGTTCAGTTAATAATATATATCAATATTAGTTCATCAGTTTTAACAAATGTACCATCCTAATGCTAAATATTAATAGGGGAAGCTGGAGGGTGACAGTAAGGAGGCATATATAGGCACTCTCTAAACTTTCTGTACAATTTTCCTAAAAACCAAAAACTGCTCTAAAAAATAAACTCTATTAAATATGGTAGACAACATAATAATAATAGGTAACATTTATTTAAATTTATAAGAAAAATTTTTTCCCTCTTGCACATTTAGTTTAAGAATGAAGAAGTAGCATCGTTCACAGTACCCAAAGAGTGGAGACAATTGAAGTGTCCATCAACTGATGAAAAGATGAACAAAGTGTGGTATGTCCAACAATGGAATAGTCTTGGGACATAAAGAGGAATGAAGTACTGCTAGGTACTTCAATACAAATGAACCTTGAAAAATATTAAGCTAAGTGAAAGGAGTCCATCACAAAAAGAGCACATATTATATAATTCCACTTATATGAAATGTCCAGAATAAGAAAACCCGTAAAGACAGAAAGTAGATTGGTGATTTCCAGGGGCCAAGGGAATGAGGGTAAGTGAGAATGACAGCTAAGAGATATGAGGCTTCTTTTAGGGGTGATGAAAATGCTCTAAAATTGATTGGGGTGATGGTTGCACATGTCTGTGAATATATTAAAAGTCATTGAATTGTATACTTGAAAAGACTGAATTGTATGATATGTAAATTATAGCTCAATAATGCTATTAAAAAGCTATTGAAAATGGTGTGTACATGGCATGGGCGGGGGGCGGTGCTGTGATAAGCTCTGTACCTCTAGGAAAATGCCTGGCGCTTACTATCCCAGCCTGGTCTCCCGGTTTGTGGCAGAACCCATAGAGGACTGTGTCAGGGAAGGTTCCAGACCCAGTAGGTGAGGCGGGGTGGGGTGGTTATCTGCATGCCCAGTGCAGGACCCAAGGCTCTGAGAGATTGTGTGAACAAGGCGAAGTCCCTCGCTGGGGCCAAGCTGAGCTTGATTCAAACCCGGGTCTGGTTGATGCCACTGGGACCAACAGATGTGCTGGGGGTCCTGAAGGATGGAGAGAAAGCAGGTGAGCTATGCCAGGCCAGCTAACCAGGAGCCAAGGACCAGGAGGGGATGCAGTGGAGTGCAGTGAGCAAGGAGGCACTGCCTTGGCAGAAGGCACCTGGAATGCCAGCCCCAAGCTTTTGATGTTCCTGCAGCCATTGAAGCACCACTGTGGGTTTCTGAGCATGGAAGTTTGAGTCCTCCAACTGCCAGGGCAAGTGATTCCTACAAGGGAGAGGGTAGAGAGGGGAGACTAGCACTGGGCTGGCACTAGGCTTCCAGGAGTCAAACAGAAAAGGAGGAGAATCTGGAGAGAGGGCCTTTCATTTCCTTCCCTCAGGCCAGGATCATCATTTCCTTCCCCAATATTTTAGTCCTTAGTGGGCAGTGGTAGTGGCGGGAATCCGGGTTTCCCTTTTGTCTCTTACTCACCTGGTCCTTATTTTAAAATATCCATCATTTCTGAATCGAAACAGGTACCAAGGGAAGTTGTTTATTTTTCCTGCCTTAGCTAAACAAGCCCCACAAGATGTCCTGTGAACCTGCAGGAGGACATTCATTGACAAGCACATTTTTTCTTGAGTACCTCTGTAACAGAGTGAAATGCTTGGCCTCTCTGACTTCAAACCTGCTTTGTTCTCATGGCCTTCAGGTTAATAGCTTCTTGCGTATGGCCATGCTTTTTGTTAGAGGAATTCTGCTTGCAGATTAAGTTTTACAAAAACAGTCCCTACCAGAAAGTGTCTCTACCTAGGAGATAAGGAAAGTATGTATTGTTTATCAAAGATTTGCAGAACCTCATGACTAGACTCACATCAACTAAGGTCAACAGACTAAGTACAATCTTCCTCAGACCCCTGGGGGCATCCAGATGTCTGCGGTTGTCAATCACCTCTTGCTCCTCCCATTTTCTCCTTCTTTTGACATAAAAAGCCTGAACCCTGTACTTTCTTAAGATGAATTTGAGGCACCATTAAATCTCCCATCTTCTCAGTTGGTGCCTTCTCAATCAAAAAACCTTTCCTTACTCTAAAATCTGATATTTTGAGCTTTGACCTTTCAAAGCATCAGCTAACGTGCCAGGGACTGTTTTGAGAAGCTGCATTGGATGAAATGAAAGCATCTTCCTGGGGGCAAGACCCCATGTTCTGAAGAAGGGGACGTGGGAGTTTGGTGGGGGGCAAATCCTTTGATGGGAGAAAGGTCATTAGATTTTTGGTATTCTGAGGGACCTGAAGGGGGACAGCCAGGAGGCTGTGGTGAAGGTGGTGGCAGTTCCTCATCAATAAGGGGCTGGGTGCTCAAGCCTATAAACCTCTCCCTTGCACCCCACAACATCCTTCCCCACCAGAGCCTGTCTCCTATGCCCCAGAGCACCTCTTCAGTGCAAATTTCAAGATGTATAGAAGCCAGGGCTGAGATTTCAGCACCCACATCTGAGAGGTATACTGAGGCACTGGAACAGGGGGCCATCACCTGCATCTGCTTCCTCTGGATTCCCACCAGGAGACGACACTGAAGCTGGACCTCTCTGAGCTCCACTCTGTGTAGGGTTGGGCTGCAGGCAAGTAGCAGGGCTTCCATGGCATTCTTCCACAGAACCACTTTAGCCACAAGACAATGTAGGGATTTTGATATCATGATAGAAAACAAAAGAAACAATTCTCTTCTTAGCTGCAGGACAATGTCTTCCTCAGCTTTGTCCTAAGTGTTGGAGGGTAAAGGTAGCAAATTGCCAGAAAGTACTACAATTTAAGAGAGAAAAAAAAAAAGAGAAAACCTAGCTTGTTAATTTCTGGATTTCAACATAAGAAAATGTGTCGTGAGATTGGAAAACAGTGACTCTAGCCTTAGAAACCAAAACAGCCTTCTTGTGTGCATGTGGCTGTGGCCTGCCCTCTGTGTGACAGGCATTCTCAGCACTCAGTCCATCCTCCTAGGAATGGCCTGTGTCCTGAGTAAGTCACCTCAATTAACCCTCACAGCTACCATGCACTGTAATTGGAGCTTGGACATAGGGCAAGGTCAGTTTAGCCCTTTCTGGCTGACCTTGAGATTTTCATACTCAAATCTCTTTACCTTCTTCTCACTCCAGTTTCTAGAATAATCTCCCAAAGATGCCACAATCATCTCGCTGGGAATTTTCATTGGTTCTCTACTACTACGAAATTGTCATAAATACTCTCTACTTAGTTTCTTTTTACTTTGTAGAAGATGAATCCTTATCCACTTGCTTTCTACTCCCAAGCAGTACGTTATGCTCCTGTGAGGAAAAGGTCACTGCCAGCTCTACTCACCACCTGTTTCATGCTGTTACTCTGCCTCA